ACTGCAGTTGTCCCCAGTTACCGACTACGCTGATAACAATTACCCGCTGTTATTATCGTTAATTAAGACGTACATACATAAAGGCATTGTATTGCTAGCATTTATGCCCTAACTAGGTATGTTTTAAGTCAAGGCGTCCACAATGCCAATCAGTACGCTGATTCCATTGTGCTTAACGAGCAGTTCCACTCGCTGTGACGTCTGTTCAATTGCAATACCGTCAGCCAGTCCTATTCTCAAAAGTAACCCATTGACGAAAGAGCCAGTGCCTGATTTGTTAATTACCAAGTGCAGGTGAAACAAGTGGGAAGGCTCTATGCAGATGCCCATTACAGGTCAAATATAATCATCAATTTATTTTATTCTTATCATTAACTATAGATGTATATATTTCAACGGAATCCTTTTTTTAAAGGATTTGTTTTTCAGGCTTCGTTCAAAATTGATATTCGTAATTAAACATGAGGATACGCTCTTGAAAATATTTAAAAACTGTAATTATATCGATTGATAATATTATATGCCAAAAAAATTAAATGATTATACTTAATTAAATTGGTAGTTTTTATATTTATATAAGATTGTTGGCTGTTATATTTATATGTATATAGAAAAACAAGTAAGAGGTTCTAGTCGGGAGCTCTCTTCTCTTCTTCCTCCCTCCCTCCCTCTACTTCCAACAGGCGATAGGTATAAAATGAAAGATACTTGATATACATATACTATTCTAGAAGCTACATGTCAAGTTTGGTGACTCAAGCTCTTATTATTTACCAAAATTGCTAAAAAAAAGAGGATTTCGATATCGATTTTTATCGATTACTTGGAAACAGGGCAAGTTATCGAATATCGATCTGCGCGGGCACTAGGAGGACCTACAGCTAAAGTCTCTAGCTTATATAGGTTCTGAGACAGACAGACGGACATGGCTAAATCGACTCGGATGTTGATGCTGATCAAGAATATATTTAGTTTATGGGGTCGGAGATGCTTCCTTCTGCCTGTTACATACATTTTCACAAATACATTATACCCTTTTTACCCATTTTTAATGGGTTCAGGGTATAAAAAACACACACCAACACCCAAAACCCAGTGAGCTTGATATTATATTAGTATTTATACTATAACTCACTAAAACCATTGGTCATTATTTCGCATGGCTTTCTAAAAATTTAAAACAATACTTATCTGCATATAGTTTGCAATATCATTGACCCGACTATATTATACCCCATTTCAAAGAGTTTAAGTTTACTGGGTATTTAACAAAAAAAACGTATTAAAACAAAAGCAAACGGAAAATATAAATAGGAAGAATAGGAAGAAAAAAAAAGACAAATAACAACCGATATAATATTAAAAACGATGAGTTGAATTTATTTTAAAACTCATCGTATTTTTTGCGTCAGCATCGACGCAAACTGAACAAACACTACGTATGTCTGATATTTATGTAGACGAATACTTATAGACACACGCCCATTGGTCACCTCAATCAAAATACCAAAAATTGTGTGCCTCATTCAATTTTGCCTCATATTGTCCATTTGATGACCCAAGACACTGACTGATGACAGATTTTATCTGCGCCTTTCGGAGTAAAAACATCATAAATGCGTCATAGTTAATGATTACATACTTGTAAGCGGCAGGGAAATTGAGTCAAAAAATATGTGAAAAATATGTGATTAGCAGAGCGAAAAACTGATAAAAATGATTAGCTGTACATATTTATAAAAGCGACTAACTGTCTGCAAGATTGGTGAGCAAGGGACTGTCAAAACTGCAAGTTATAAACATAATTATTTTCGGTAATTTGCTTCTATGACATTGGGCAGCACTGAGTCTTGAAGGTTTAAAAAATAATACTTTTTTTTACGTAATCCCCAACCTGAATAAAAAATGGTCATCAAAGCATATCTGGGCGAAAGTTTAAATTAATTAATAAATAAATCGAACGGGCTTTGGACTGATTTTCAAATCATGAGCGCTTAAAATTAAATTAAAACGTCTCAACTATTTACACATTGAATGACGAAAAATGTGTTTACAAAAAGTGGAATATCATTACGAGTCGTGTATGCTGTACAGCTAAATTGATAATGTCAGTAATAAATGTGTTTTTTTAATTAGCAAGAAATAAATATCATCGACTTCCAAATTTGTTGTCTTAAACAACTTAGCGCAGATTTTTTAATATGCGTTTATATTTATAAGATTCTCAGTTGATAACTGGGACGAATAGGTACTGCGTTGTCTGGAGACAAATTGGCGACCGTCAAAGGCTTCCAAGTAGACATTGTCCCGTGGCCAGACAAAGGTCGCTATGGATGCCAAGGTCGAGCTTTACACGATATGCTGCTATTGTGTGTGTGTGTGTGTTTGTGTGCTTGGAGGCAACGACTACGACAACGCTCACAACATACACGCACGCAGGGGGAATAAGGGGAAAAGCCAGTGCGGCAACAAAATATAAAAACATTTGCACAAGGGCCGATTTTATTTGCATTTCAGAATTTATTGCTTTTGGCTTCTCTGCTTTCGGCTTCGTCTCAGCTATTTTCCATTTTCCGATTCTTGTGCTGCTAAGGGAATTTGTTTTTGCTTGGCAAAAAGTATGAAGTCTGAGCGGCAAAGGGCGCAACGCGTGCCCAAAGCAATTAAAATTTTCAAACAGCAGCAGCAGCAGCAAAACCAACAAGAACAACTGCAACAACAACAAATCTATAGACAAGGACGCCTTAATGTTTAAAATTCAACATCCGCAACAAAGGCAGCAATTGTGATAGGTGCTGGGGTTACAGGCTGTCAGTCACGGTCATGGATGAAGGATTCCCTTTCTTGCACACACTTTCGAAATGGACTCCACAGCTGATGGCCAGCAGATGACGAGGAAATTCAATAATGCAAATAAATGTATACATGTACACATATGCACAAAGAACCAAAAACAATATATGGACTGATTTAATGAAAACTGTTACATACCCTGTATCATCGAGTATGGTTAACTGAGGGTCGAACTCATCAATAATACGTTTAAAATACATATGGAAATTATTGCGTACGAGGGGAATTCGAATGACTATCGAAGAGAAGTTTTTTATATATGTACAAGGAATATCTACGGCATATCTATAAAAACATAAATCTTTGCGAGGAGTCTTGACATTTCTTTTACTGATTTCAAGTTGTTTATTTATTATTTTTATGCATAGAGCATAGACAAGTACAACAAATTATAGAACCTAGTTGGCAGACTTTTAATCTAGCTATTAGGTTGAATGCGCTAAATAAATCTAAACTATCGCTGAATTCGCAGTCAGTGGGACATTTTTTTGAATACGTTTTAAGAATCTTTATTTAGATGTATAATTAACAAAAATTATGCATATACATTGATTATAGGAAAACATGACATACATATGTATATTAATTTGATATTAAACATACCCCAAAATTAACAATATTCATCTCATCAGTCTTCCTAATGCGATTGGCTAGTGCCTTTTATTGCAATTATACGACGAAGAGCTAAAAATAAGCAAGCAAAAGCGCAGTGTGTCATACCCTTTTTGAGCATTTGATGTGTGTAGGGTATTAAAAACGTATTCACACCCACGCAAATACCAGCGACGGAAAAAAAGTCGCATAGTTAGAGTGCGAAAACACGCACGCCGAAGTTTTGATACACTTGCTAAAATATTAAGAACTACTCCCATGTAAAAACAAATAATATAGCTCAAAATTAAAAAAACAAACATTATATACGGTTTACTCTTTAAAAAAAGGCACAACACTCGAAGATCTGACCAATGTTTATGTTTATTTATATATAGTACATACATATGTATATATTTTATCCTAAATAAATAAATAAGAAGTTGCTATAAAAGCAGAAACAAAACTTTAAGCTTTGAAAATATACATTTCTAAAATATGCTTTCGAAAAAACACATGCAGTGTATTCGGCGACTGCTGTAGGGAAGTCGCTTACAAAAACGCGCAATTTATTAGGACAAATTTCCTGTGCCCTTCAAAATGTGCCACTGCGTATGGGGCGCATTTTTACAAATATGCTTGCATTTCAATTACGTTGCAGCGTACATTTTACGCGTATGCTGTCAATGTTTATAAACAAACGAGAGAAATTAGGGAGTGACCACAGCAGCAGCAGTGCGAAAAACAACAAGATTCACACACAAACACATTTATGTACATACATATACGTATGTATGTACTTGGACGTAAAAAACTTGCATCTTTGGCTTCCACTTTACCTGCAGCATACGCATTACATAAGCAATTTGTAATTGCAATGGCAACTAAATTGCGATCAGCATTTTTGCTTAAGAGCCAATTTACTTACCGTTTACAAACTGTTTAAGAAAATTGACGCCGATTCCGGCAGAATGTTATATTTTGGTTTCTGCTTGGGTACGGCAAATTTTTAGCACGACACAAACTGCGAGCTGGTATATTGTAGATATTATTAACAATCTAGCCGTGTTGCCGTTCTGTATAATAGATGCTTAGCCTTTTGGCATTTGTTTAATATAAGTTCTCGGATTTTGCGCCAGTCGCGACGCGACACAACCGTTCACCACAAATTTCGCTTCAGCATTATTTTTGTCAAATTAAGTGTAGTCCACTGCACGCAGCGCAAATATACTGAAATTGGTTCGGCAATATGGTACTACTTTTCTAAAAATACCTAATATAATACGAATTTAGTTTGGCAACACTGAATTGAACACAGCTGATGTAGCGCGGCCAACTTCATGGCATAACTTCTACTAGAGATGAACGAAATTTTGATTCTAAAGTTACTCAAATAGGATAAAAATATATAATTTATGTTATCCTGTACTTTTAGATTATTTGTGAATTGATGTATACGCAGTACATGTAAATCTATGTGTATAAATGCAAACTTTGTTAAACTGTTTATATTTTGTGCTATTAATGATATATTAAGTCACTATCACAGTTACTTGGCCGCAGTTACACAGCATCTGCACATCTCTAGTTGTTGTTATTCGGTGGTGCGTTGAATTCATATTTGTTTTCGGTTGTAGCATTTAAAAGATCCAGAAAAAAAGACTAATAGATAATAACATGGCTAATGTTGAGTCAATGATTGTGGAAGAGAAGACACAGATCAAGCAAATTGATCGCGAGAAGGTTTGTTTTAATACGTAAAATGCCGGCAACAAATTTACTAAACTGCTTCCTCTTCACGCTGCCATTTCAGACCTGTCCGCTGTTGCTGCGTGTGTTTTGCTCCACGGGCCGGCACCACTCCGTCTCCGAGTATATGTACGGCAATGTGCCCACCAACGAGCTGCAGATCTACACCTGGCAAGATGCGACGCTGCATGAGCTTACCTCGCTGGTGCGCGACGTGAATCCGGATACGCGCAAAAAGGGCACCTACTTTGATTTTGCGATTGTGTTCCCCAATTATCGCAATAATCATTTTCAAATGCGCGAAATTGGTGTCACCTGCACTGGTCAGAAAGGCATCGACGATAACAAGACGCTGGCTCAGGCCAAGTTCAGCATTGGCGACTTTCTGGATATCTCCATAACGCCACCAAATCGCATGCCGCCCACGCGACGCCAGCGCCCCTACTAAGTCAGCAGAATTTACAGGCTATTCATATAATTTTTCACTTTAAATAATAATAAAGTACAGACAGATTAGTAAAATTAAGGCGAAGACTTAAGAGCTGTTTAACTTAAATTTCTAACTGGAGTTTGGGTGTGTGTGAGTGTTTAGTTTCTGTAGATACTGTTGGGACGTTTGGACTTCTTCTTCCCCAGCTGCGTCATGTCGATCTCCAGGCCGTTGGGCAACACAGCGCGATTCTCCTCGTAGTTAATGAAGCCGTTCTCCTGCAGCTCCTCCTCATTGTTGCGCGCATTGGGATCACATTTGATTCCCGTCTCATAGTTGTACTCACGCTTGTTGCCATCGGGATCAATGTAGCCATAAGTGCCCCTTGAGGAGGCAAATTTTAATTATCAATTCATAAAGATTGGGGTGTGCACTCACTTGGTTATGCAGTCGGTGCCGATGATCTCCTCCTTGAAGGATCCATCGTCGTTCTCATATCCCCAGGTTATGGTGCCACCTTCGTTCTCATCGCGCCACTTGCGTATGGTCTGCGCGACTGGACGTTGGCGACGCTGCTGCTGCTGCGTGTGTTGCTCATCTTGCAATTGATTCTGATCGATGATGGGACGCGGCTGAATGGGCTTAGGCCTCGGACGTGCCACGGGTAGAGGTGCTGGTGCCTCTGGACGTACTGCAGCGGATGGTCTATTGCGTATGACGGCTACACGTTGTGGTTGTGGTGGTGCCGCAGCTGTGGGCGTTGGACGCGCCAGATCGAAGCGCTGGGTGTTCTCAAAGCGTCCAATGCCAAAGTCATTGAAGGACGGTCGGTTGATGGGCGTGGCAACTGCGGGACGCTCGGCAAAGCGTGGTGGCGCTGGCAATATCGCTGTCGGCTGGCTATCCTCATGCTGGAGCAGCTGATGCACCGGCGTGGCCGACTCAATAGATTGCTGGCCATTCAGGAAGGCGGCGGCCGCCTGCTGGAACTGGGATTGCTGTGCCTGGGCAAGCTGCTGCTCGCGCAGCAAACTGGGCAGGAATGCATCCGGTTGGTCGTCCTCAGCGGGCTCGGTGACGGGTCGTTCCTCCAGTGCAACACGCTGGGTGACCGCGGGCAAGATTGCCTGCTGCTGTCGCAGCGGCGCTCCGGGACGACGCACGCGCAGCACCTGCTGCCGTTGCGGTATCGGCGCTGACACGGGCACTGCACCAGGAATGTTGAGCCGTGGCGGATAGTTTTGGGCCTGTGCCAAGCCGATGACGACGACGCTGCACAACAGCTGCAAGTTGAGGGATGGGGCAATAGGCATTAAAGCAGGGCTATAAATGGCATGGTCTCAATTATTTCATGACGTGTTGCAACTGTTGCGGTTGCTTGGCCAAGTGTGGCATCGATCACGTGGACACACTTCCAATTAGCAGTGCGTACTTCATAAGCAGCTTGGACTGGACTTCTTTTTTTTTGAATTTGTGCTCCACATGCGTTCCACAAAAGTGGTTTACGGCAAATGTAAATAAAGTCCAAAATTTGACTTTGTGCTTTTTGTGTACTTCTTAAGCTGCTGTCGCCATAAAAAAACTGGTTTAAATTTATACGCCGCTTAACTATTACAACAACAATTTGTTATTGTAACGCTGTGGCGGCAACAGCGACAAAGACAACAACAACAACAGGAGTAGGTAGCTGCAATAGCAATAAATGTGGAACATAAAGCAAATCGCAGAAATTGCTCGCCCGCCTCGCTGGCGATCGATCATAACAGCCACTAGCAGCACCACCAACCACCAACCACCGGCAACAACAACAGCAAATATCGACTGTTGAATATCGCTCGATGTTGTTGTTGTTGTTGTTATCGCCATTTCGGCCTGGATTGCGTAATTTGCATGCCTCAGCAGTTGGCGGCAGCCTAAAGTGGCACAGTCAAAAAAAGAAAAACCCCATTTGAGTTAGCTATGCGAATTTTTCCGTGGCATGTGGAAACCATTTGAGCTCAAGCACGCCGAGTTTCCGGTTCACAACAACAACACCATGAAAAAAAGAAGTCAGTGTCTAGGACAAGTGGCCGCCAAGCCAATGGGCGGCTTCTACGAACTCGAATACTTTCCAAAATACCAGCCGTCGAATTTGAGTTTCGGTTCGAGTTACTTTTTAATTAGGTGCCACGTTAAGTGCAATCCGGAGATCAGTGACACAGGCTATGGTCAGCACCCCAGGTTGGTCGAGCGGCAGCTGCGCCGCTGTTGGTTCGAGGTTGTCGTGGTTCGATGGAGGTATTTTTGTTGCACATTTTTGGGCTGTGGGTCAACACAAAGTTAGAGATATCGAGAGATTGGAAATTTTGTTGTCAATACCAGTTATAACATGGGCATTGGCATCTATCGAATCTCTTTATAACATTCACGAATATATTTTAATTGATGCATTATACATATGTAGGCTTTTAATTTCGTCAAAGGCATTCTATAATATTCTTAAAACAATTAAAACTGTCGTTTTTTTTTTTTTGCATTTGACTTTGAACGAATCTAAAACTCAACTCTAAAACTGTAGCCGGTTCGGCTTAGGTAAACTTGTTTGTGAACTGTTCAATGTAACTGAGTTGCTTTATTTAATAAAATCAAAGATACGGCTCAATATTTATGAAGTAATATTTCGAATGATTTAATAAATTGCATATTCTAGAAAACGTATTTATCTACAACTACTCAAGCAAGTCGCATTTATGTACATGTTGCCATTGTATTTGTCGCATCAGTTTAACATTCATGTTTTCATTTCATTTCTGGAATCGAAAAAATACGCCTACAACTTAAATCTTTTTTTATCTGCTAATAAACCATGTGTTATTTTTATATATATGTATACAAATCATTTGCTCTTATAATCTTCGGTTAGTGCTTTGACGTTTTCAATACCCAGCTTTGGATTAAAAAAATTTAACAATCCTAGCAACTCCCAACGACTTACTTAAAGACTTACACATACATATATATTTAGGCAATTGGCACACATGAATTGCAGCCATATAGAAGTGGTAATTCATGTAATTTCAAATATAGGTACAGCTATTTTATGTTTTGCCACCTAATTTCGCTGTGACTCAAGCTTATGCAAATTTTTATTATGCATTCACTCCACAAATATTTATACATATATATATATACATAAGTAAATAGTTTAAAGCTTGATTTGCATTGCTTTCTTTGCCGGTATTCCTCTTGGCTTTGTTTTGTGGGCATTCAAGCCCAGCATTTATAGTGACCAAGCGACTCAACTACAGCTTGGCTGGCTGCCCAACTACCTGGTCAAGTGAACTAAGTATTTGGCCAGCCGTTAAAATATGATCGAAAATAAAAGAGAGACTGAAAACCGGGCTTGCACGCTTTAGAAAACACTTGCAACAATGCGAGTAATTCGTTGCTTGGGGAACTTGATTTAATTTAATTAGTTTTTATGGCTGCGCCTCGTGGTTCAAGGAAACTAAAAAAGCACGGCATTTGTGTGTGCAGCCACTACTCAAGTGATGCCAGGCCAAGCCCTAGCCAGCAAGCAGTCTTTCATGTGGGCGTAGTCTGCGATCTCATTGGAGTGCGTTGACTGGCACTGAGCTGAGGATGACTTTCTGGCGTTCCGATAATATCTCATTAGTAACAATAACTTGGCTAAGGACACTTGGCCTTGAGCCATAACTCGACTGGCCATTGACCGAAAGGGATTGAAATCCGAAAACTCCATTGCACTCAACACAGATCTTATGCTCGCGCCTGTAACAGCTTCCAACCTGAATGTATTTCTTCTCGGTTTACCAACTGGAAATAGTTGTCAGTGCACTTTCGGAGCTCAGATATGTAACGCTTTATTTATGTTTAATACAAATTTATATGTATGTAACTATGTATGCACAGTGTGCTCGTGCATTACGTAACACACTACGCCCAATTGCGTTATGGAGCAGCGTATCTGTAATATATTTTTATTTGTGTTGGTGTATCTGCATCTGATCAACTGCTATGTGTGGTGTGTGTGTGTGTGTGCGTGCCGAGAATTTGCATTATATGGCTATGAGTGTACAGCTAACTTGGGTGCGTTTTTGGCATCCCAAGTAACTTGGTCAGTGGCTCGTGGAAGCGTAAGTGGAACCGGGCCAAACAGCGGCAACGACCTTGAGACACATGCATAAGCCAGGCACAATAACATGCCGTGACCAATTTTGAGTTAATTCACACATAACTGCTCTTAAAATGCTCAACAAATTGCCAACACCTACTGCTCTGATTTTACTATTATTATTTCTTTTTTATGAGAAAACTCATTAGACCAAAGGCTGTGCAAAAATGTTTGGACAAGCCCCACAAATCAAGCAATCAATCAATAACATTAAAATCCTATTAGAAACGGTTATTTATGGTTTTAGAAGGTTTTTATATTTTTCTTAACAAGCGGATTTTAATTAGAATTTTATATATTGTTGTACTAGATATATTTGCAATCTGGTAAGAAAAGTTTTTTATTTTTATTTCAGATTAGCAATTTAAAGATATATACATATATATTAAGTGTTTTCCTTTCTCCAATAAGCAACTGTCATCTTTAAATTAATAAATTTTTATTACTGTGCACTTTAACGCTGGGTCAGTAGCAAGTTTCAAAGATAATGCCAGATACTTATGTTCAACAACATTGGTTTGCTTTTGAAATTGTTGGCACATTGCCTACAATCAAAGGGGCGGAGGCTAAGCTGAAAAAATGCTCGTTAAGTTTGTGACCTGAGGGCTTGGTTAACCAACTTTTCAATTGAAATTCTTTGCTACACAGACAATTGTTAATGATTGAATCGCATATTTATGATATCGGCGATTTGCGTTGTTATTTGGTCTTTATGCGATCGGCGACGAAATGTCAATTGGCTATATTTAATTGCTAACTGCATCGCATTGAGCTACAAGTACACTCATAGACTTTCTATTAAATGCAAATACACAACACAAATGTCTCAATCGGTGTTCAGTGATCGAGATCTTAAGCTGCGAACCAAACGACCTTGGCAGCTCTTATACGCATACGTGCCGGACGATTGCATTTATTATGC